AAATCATGGCGAGATCATAATGACGGGTGACGGCCACACGAAGCCGGAAAGCGGACATGCGCCGCCTAAACATAGCCAAATGGAGACTGCCTCGGCAATGAGAGTACGATGGACGGTGACCAGGGAGTTCCGAGTGAATGGACCTGAGGGCGGCCTCAGGATCCCCGACCTGGTTTGCCAAAAGGCTGATACAATCCATGTCATCGACCTTACCATTCGGTATGAGCTAGATGGCGACACTCTGGCTCTGGCTGCATCGGAGAAGGTCCAACGGTATCAACCAGTCGCAGCAAAGATTGCCAGACGGTTAGGTGGGCGTTGTGCGAAGGTCTGGGGTTTCCCAGTGGGAGCGAGGGGAAAATGGCCTTCAAGCAACAACATAGTGTTGAAGGAGTTAGGCGTTCCAGAGTTTAGAAGGAGGACATTCGCCCGCCTGGTGAGCCGGAGGGTCCTGCTCTATTCTTTAGATGTGTTGCGGGATTTCCAACGCGATCCAGGCGGGTAAGGGGAGTGCGTACCCCCATGGCTACGGGAGCCATGGAATACGCACAAATCGGTGTGGCCAGTTGCCTAACCTGTGGGACTGTCGCTTCAATATGTTGAGCCAGTGGGCGACGGCGGGTAGGTGGTGTCAGTCCCCAGGGGAGGGAGTAACTATGACTCTCTTAAGGTAGCCAATTGCCTTGTCATCTATTCAGCTTCATCTCTGGTTGGTGATACGCATGTGTGGCCCGCCGTACCTTGTGGGGGTCCCCGGCCATGAAACGTGGGTAGTGAATGGGCTCGCTGCCCGCTAAGGCCGGGGAGGAATAGTTACTGGGTTGTACCTCCACGTGGTCAGCCGAGGGAAGGTTAGGACGGCCAAATCAACCTGCCCAAGGAGGGGGTTCGCTTGACCAGCGAACTCTTACTCCCGCACAATCAATCGGGAGGGGATTGAACTACCTTTCCGCAGATGAGGTGTCGTAGGCATGGTTGGCTGCGGAAAAAGCCACTGGCCAACCGAGGCCTCCGTCCCTTGAAATTCAGACTGTAAAGCACGTCGTGAGCCTCTCCCTGTGGGGGAACCACCCACCGAGTTGCTGTCGGTAAGTGGAAAAGGGGCCGGATGGTCGTCCTTTGTCCCTTCCGACTCGCCCACACTGGTCTTTTTCGTTGTTGCGGATGACCTGATTCTGCGTTCGTTCCATGGCGATCGCTCGAGCATTGGACAGTCGGGAACTCGTGATGATTAAAAACCATGGCGAGATCATAATGACGGGTGACGGCCACACGAAGCCGGAAAGCGGACATGCGCCGCCTAGACATAGCCAAATGTGCCTATGTCAAGGGCAGTAGGTTGAGTAGGCACAACAAGGTGTGTGAGCTCCTGACGACGGAGGCAGAGAGGTATGGCTGGACGGTGACCAGGGAGTTCCGAGTGAATGGACCYGAGGGCGGCCTCAGGATCCCCGACCTGGTSTGCCAAAAGGCKGATACWATCCATGTCATCGACGTCACCATTCGGTATGAGCTAGATGGCGACACTCTGGCTCTGGCTGCATCGGAGAAGGTCCAACGGTATCAACCAGTCGCAGCAAAGATTGCCAGATGGTTGGGAGGGCGTTGTGCGAAGGTCTGGGGTTTCCCAGTGGGAGCCAGGGGAAAGTGGCCTTCAAGCAACAACATAGTGTTGAAGGAGTTGGGAGTTCCGGAGTCTAGAAGGAGGACATTCGCCCGCCTGGTGAGCCGGAGGGTCCTGCTCTATTCTTTGGATGTGTTGCGGGACTTCCAACGCGATCCAGGCGGGTGAGGGGAGTGCGTACCCCCATGGCTACGGGAGCCATGGAATACGCACAACCGGTGTGGCCAGTTGCCTAACCTGTGGGACGGTCGCTTCAACACGCCGAGCCAGTGGGCGACGGCGGGTAGGTGGTGTCAGTCCCCAGGGGAGGGAGTAACTATGACTCTCTTAAGGTAGCCATTTGCCTTGTCATCTAGTCAGCTTCATCTCTGGTTGGTGACACGCATGTGTGGCCCGCCGTACCTTGTGGGGGTCCCCGGCCATGAAACGTGGGTAGTGAATGGGCWCGCTGCCCGCTAAGGCCGGGGAGRAATAGTTGCTGGGTTGTACCTCCACGTGGTCAGCCGGGGGAAGGTGCGRATGGCAAAMTCAACCKGCCCAAGGAGGGGGTTYGCTTGACCAGCGAGCTCTTACTCCGCACAATCAATCGGGAGGGGATTGGGATTACCTTTCCGCAGATGAGGTGTCGTAGGCATGGTTGGCTGTGCATRAAGCCGCTGRCCAACCGAGRMCTCCGTCCCTTGAAATTCAGAYTGTAAAGCATGTCGTGAGCCTYCCCCTGCGGGGGGAGCCACGCACCGAGTTGCTGTCGGGAAGTGGAAAAGGGGCCGATGGTCTTCCTTTGTCCCTTCCGATTCGCCCACACTGGTCTTTTTCGGTGTTGCGGATGACCTGATTCTGCGTTCGTTCCATGGCGATCGCTTGAGCGTTGGATAGTCGGGACC